CCACTCCAAGCGCGTCCGATATCGTTTACGTCTAAAGGGGGCTATTGTCGTGAACCCAGTTTCAATAGCGACTATAATACGCGGATTATTCTCCCTGGCCCCCTCCGTCCAACAAACCAAAATTATTACATGTTACGATTGAACCTGTTGGACGTCAGTTTCACTGAAACAGTTTAATTTTTAGTAAAAAGTAGGTTTAATATTTTGCGGCCTTAAATTTATAATGATACATATACCAGTAGAAAACGCTATAACATATTTTCAATAAAAATAAAAATATTTCTATACATTTTTAAATAGTAATTATTTACAAGTAGGTAGCTGTTATTTTAAGGGGAGACGTAGTCTCAAAGTCTCACCTGACTATTTCTCAAAATGTCTTTGTTCCTTCTTCTGCACCAGCATCCCAGTTCGTTGTCGTATACTAGACCACAGATGATTCTCAGTACTTTGTTTTCGAACGACATAAGTTTTTTCTGTTATTTACAACTACATGATTTAAATTAACGTTCTCTTTCTCTGTATCTTTGTAACAACTTGTTACTAATAATTCATTTATAACAGAACAAGTTTGAACTAAAATTTAATGACAATTTCGTACACTCCAAGTAGTCACAATAATGAGTATCCGTTTGCGATGTCGGAAAAGAACCGATTCAAATGATAGTACCATATATTATTTATATTTTATGGGTGGCACCAGATGGACGTTGTCATGTCCCTATCTGGTGATGAATGGATGACGGGGTGTCGTAATGACGCTGCGTGCTAGGGACTGGTGAATAACGAGACATAAAAACGCGATCACCGATAGACGTTTCAATAACGGCTGCCACACGAGTCCGAATCAGTGTGTTGAACTGAAAGTTTGACTTTTAATTTAATGCAATTTGTTTTATCGTTTTTACGCAATTTTCTTGTTTCATCTCTAGGACACCCACAATTTCAATCAGCAGCGGATTGGCTAAAAATTTCAGCCCGGGAAATTACCGTATAACTGGCCCACCATCCAATAATAATAATTTTTCATAAGTCTCCTTTGTTCATGGATTAAATGCTCGTAGAACTGTTTACATCATGTTTACACTAGGTTTTTATCAAAATCTTACAATTAAATATACCTATTAAATGTACAATATACAGTAATCCCTCGTTATCCGCGAAGGTTACGTTCCAGCAACCTGCGCGGATAACGAGATCATAAATCAATGTAAAAAGATAGGTTAGGTTTAATTTTTTTTAATTTTAAAAATTAATTATTAATCAATTAATAATTTTTAATTCCTACAACTAATTTATTTATTATCTATCGTATTGTTTCTTAATTTTTACGTATTTCTCGAACACTAGGTTCATTCATTTTTTACGTTCTAGCAAGTGACGCTACAGTATTACCACTTTTTAATATGTTCAAAATTTCAATTTTTTGAACGAGTAATAAAACATTTCTTCTCTTTTTTATTGAAATTTTACATTGAGAAGCCATTTAAAAATATTTTCACAACTAAATTTATTAAACACTGCTGTACACGTATCACGCACTAATATCATCTTACAACTGAGCAATTGATGATTATTATTCGTGCAGGTTTGGGTAACCTTTTGTGTTTTATCTGCAATAAGTATAAGTATGTATGATGTATATGTGTTATACCTATAGCGATAAAACAATTATCTACAATTTTTGTCAAAAATAAATTTCTACAGTGTTCGTGTAATAACGGTAAAACGTTATCGCAATCGCATTAAAAATATGTTATCGTGGACCCAACCGCGGATAATCGAAACCGTGGATAACGAAGGATTACTGTACTTAAATACATTATTTTTATAAAATAATTTTTAATCCTAGTACATCGGCCCAGTGTTATAAATACGACTAGCGGCCCACCGGGAACTTTCCCGGTATCCCGGTGGGCCAATCCGCCGCTGATTTCAATGTTATATTCAAGTGCTTTATTTTCTAAATTATACGATTAATAACAAGTAAAATTTCTTCTTACATCTTCATGTTTCGAGCATTAATCATTTTATTTTCTGATTTTTATTCCCCTAGTTGTTAATATTTCCTTAATTGATTTTTGAAACTGTTAAATTATTCACTCATAAAATTAATGTTTTCCACTAAACATTTTATAAGTACTTTTATAATTTCTGCATTTGGAACAGTTCTAAGCTTTTTTAGATAAATTTTTCATTTTTCAATATAAAGGTTTTTTAAAACCGGTACAACTAAAAAACTTCCTCTTATACATGAGCAACTATAGAGACATAAATTGTAATTGACAAACGAACACTAATAACTAAAGAGCGGATTTAATTTATATTGCAACTTTTTATTGATACCCAGTATATCAAATCTGATCAAATATGTATACGAAACAGATTAATTACAGTCTTCCTATTTAATTTAATAATGCAATTTTTTGCAATTTTCAACGATTCTGCAATTTTTTGCAATTATTGCAATTTTTGTATATTTCACGTGATAAAATATACAAATTTTTATTTTTAAAGTGATTTTACATAAAAAATATATCTACGATGTAAACTTTTACAAGTAGTTAAATGTAGTTTAGGATTTTTAAAATTATATTTATCTGAGTTATCCACAAACTTCTCAAGTTTAGAAGAATCAAATAGTCAATTACTTAATAGTTTAAATATATTTAGTATAAATACTAAATAAATAAATAAATAATAAACAAATACTAACTAAATAAAAATATTTAGTATAAATATTTCTATAAATATTCCTGGTCCCAATGGAAAAATAGTTAAAAATAAATTAAAATGAATAAAATTAAGGATATAAAACTATTAAAAATTACTCTGAGATTATGACAGGAAATCAAAATGTTTATTTAGATACATCACCCAATTTTTTAAACTATTTTAAATATGCATCGATAACAAATGTCGATTTTGAATGTACTTTTTCATTATATAAACATATTTTAAGTAACAGACGATACAATTTTTAAGAACACAATTTAGAAATGTATATATTTATAAATTTTAATTAAAAAAAATGATATATTTTGTAAATATTATATTGATGTCCATAATATTATTTAAGTAAGTAATTAATGATTATAAATTTGATATGACTTTACTATGTAATTTTAATGTATTTCATTGGAATTTTAACATATTTATACTGCAATTTTGATACATTTTCATTACAATTTTGGCATCTTTTTAGTGCAATTTTAAGATATTTTTAATGCAATTATATCCGGTCATTACTAATAACTGATTATAGAATCATAATTTGTTGTTATGGATAACTTCGTTCAATTCTCAAAATTTCAGACTCATTGAAGGAGTTAACTCAAATATTGTTTTTTATAAATTTTTTTATTTTTCTTGGAAGTACAAATCATCATCATCATACACAGCTTAAGGGGCCATTGAGGTCCAATGCTGTCATCAAAAACTTATTCCATTCTTCTCTATTGTACGCTATGTTTATCTGAGCCCTTTTTTGAAGTACTCTTAGATCCTTCAGAAATATTTGGAAGTACAAATATTACTTTTAATTAAATTAGTAGTTTTGCAGTAAGTGGTTAAAATTGTTTTAGTATAACATTAATTTAACTATAAATAAAATATCTTCAATTTGATAACTTATAACTCGTGTTAGCTTCAATTAAATATTGGATCAAGCATAGATAACATATTTTTATGATTCACTAAAATGTGTTTCTAGCCATCTTTTATTGTATTTTTTTTTTTTTTTATTTCAATAAAGGAGGAATAATAAATAAAACATGAATTCTAAAAATCTAATTAAAAAAATAAAAAATAAATGTAATAAATTTACTGTCATATAAATATTTCATTATACTTGTTTCTACATTTATTTGCAAATAATGTTATCTTAAGTAATATAATAATTGATAGTTGTTTTTTTTTAGTAAAAATACATTAAAAATACAAAATAATATAAAAAATTATAACAATATGATAAATATCATCTTAAAATTGTATATATTTAGAAAACTGAAATTATAACATGTTCAATCAGTCATTGGAAATTATATCTTTGTTATCAAGTAGAAGGGCTACTGCTTGTCTTACACTCATTTCCCATGAATCCAGTATGTGAGACACTGTGAAACGGACTGGCATTAACATCATTCTTGATTCAAATACATCTTTGACACACATAAGAAATGATGTACCACCATAGTCATTAGATGGAATTATGCATGAAGGATTGGCTGGTGGATAATTCTCGTAAACAATTATGTTAATTGGTGGTACACAAGGTAAATTTTTATCATCTAACCAACATAAAATGCGGATGCAAGACACTCCACTTGGCCGTACAGGGTCTAAAGACACCTATGTTTGGTAAGTAAATAATATAATATCATGACAGTAGTTTGTTACATATTGTATAATAAACATCAATTACCTTAAAACGTTGATCAAGCCGAGCAATTTCTCCTTCTAATGCTTTAGGTATGATACTTTGAACTTCATTAGAATTATCATTTCCTGTATATGGAGGTGGTGACCTTCAGAGTTCAAAAAAATATATTATTAAATACTTCATACTAATAATAAATCATAATAATGAAATAGGAAATAAAACTTACATGGGTCGTTTTTGACCCACCATAAATTCAATACAAGGCGCAAACGTTCGGTGTAGTGTATGGTTAAAGTTTGGAGATTGTATCATGGAGCCTATCACTTCTATTAAAGGATGTACCTCTCTCATGGCAGTTGATTGAGGTGGAGGCACGCTACCAACTTCTTTAACCTAATTATACAGTAGTTATTAATTAATGTAAAATAACTTTAATTATACTTAAATAAACTAAATAATATTGAATATAACTCCATGAAATAAGTAAATAGTTATTACTCTGCTTAAGTCTAATTTTTCCAGGGCAACTTGACATTTCATCAAAGTCTCCAAAGGCATGCGTTGGGAAGGAGTTGATAATATTTCTAGCAGTTTTTTCATCTTGCTTAATTTTTCAACATCTTAAAATATGAAAAAATTTTAACTAACAGAAATTATTAAATATTAAATTTTTTAATTATTACCTTCATTTCCAATTAATGCTATCATTTTGCGCAATGGTTCAATGTATTTGCTAAGCTGTCTTACTTTTTCCCTATATGCTATATCTTCCTGAGCTAGAGGACTTGGGCCAGCATTTGATGAAGGATTCATTGGAGTGTTTAATGATGGAACTGAGCTACCTGGAGAGGGTACATTGCCTACAAAACATAATCATTTTATTCATATTAATATTTTAAATAACTTTTTGTAATAAATAATAAACATATTCAAACTATGTATGATGAAAATCTATTTAAGGAGTAACATTTAGGCAATTTCTAATCTCATCGTCGCCACCTGAGATCTATGTGTTAGTTGTAAATGATTATTAGTGTGTGTGGCGTCAATGCGGGTACCGCTTCTTTCCGCACCATCATACAGGTAGTCGTTCATCGTAATCGTTATGGCAGTATTCCATATTTTTTGAATTATAGTTCATCGAAAATTAGGTACCCATGTTTTTGATGTACAACAGTAGGTAATTAAAAAAAAATAGCTGCAAATAGTTTTCAGTGCAAAGTAATTTGTACTATTTTTGTTTAGGAATTCAAATTTAGTCGTCATATTAATAGGAAAAAATCATCCTGCTTATTAGAGTTTAAAGTATATAATTCATTGAATCTCGGTCACCATTACGACAAAAATATATGGAACCTTACATAAAGACTGTAATATAAGACAAAAATAAATAAATAATAGGTATAAAAGGGAAAACAACAAATCGATTTAAACCTTACATTGCTTCTTTTTATCCTAATAATATATCCTATAAATATTGGTAAAAGTTTGTAGTCAATAGGACAAAATGGGGGGCTGCGTGAAGTTATTCCCCCAACCGAAAAACTCTTATTCCGGGAAATGGGTGAAATTTCAAATTCTGAAAACTTGGTTCCAAATTAGTTCCATAATATTGGTGAAGGTTGGAATTCGATAGGACAAAGTGGGGGGGGTCAACTTCACGGACGTGTATAGGTTCATTATCTTGACGCGGTGCGGTAGTGGTACAAAGGGCTCTCGCACGCACATGTTAGAACGTAATATTGAAATCGCAAAAAAATGTTTATTTTTCACTTTAACATACGATTCTAATTCAAACAATACGTCGCAACGATTATCTAGATTTGCATTCTGAAAAAAACATTCTTTTTTTCCACAACATGTATGAGGGATCGATCGAGGCATATTTAAAAAATTGTATTTAGTTAATTCAATATTTAAGTTTGAAATTCTGTATTTTTTTTTTTAATTTTCAACAATATTTATTGCAATTCAAATTACAAAAATTAAAAATGTGGCTCGATCGTTCCTTTGTACATATTACGGAGAATCCGTATATTTTTTCAGAATGAAAATCGTGATAATTGTCGACACGTAGCGTTGGAATTAGAAACAGTAGTTTTTGTTAAAAAAAGACGTGGTGGTGAGGCCCCTTAAATATTATTTAGTATTTAGACTGTACATTTAATAATAAAACATACCAATAGATCTAATAGGACCACTCATTTGACCACTTGGAGTTAGTTGAGGACCACTTGGCGAAGCAATCATCTGATTACTAAAAAATAATTAATCATTGAAATGTTTATTAAAATAATATAACACTTCATAAATATATTTACTTCAGTAATATAGTTTATTTAGTCTTATAGTTTTTATTTGTGTAAACAGTAGAGTTATAGCAAATTAATAAGAATTTAATATTTACCCAGATGGAAGAACATTTACAGGAGATTGTTGAGGTGATGAAGGACTATTATGACTGAGAAATTGATTAGTCGCTACAGATCTGGGTGTTCCTGCGGGATATCCTCCAACAACTGGCTGATTAGGAATCATCATTACATTTTCTGGGCCACCAGGCATCTATTTTAAACATAAAAGTATTATAATATTAACATTAGTTAAATTAAAAATAGTAAATTAATATTTAAAAAAAATCATTAATAAATTGTATTATAAATAAATTTTAAATGTATATAATGAATTAGGATACAGATAGGTAGTGATGCAACTAAGTCTTAAATTTTGAGGGGTTATAGTTACACCATACTGTTATTTAAAAAGATAATTAAATAATTTAAGGGTTATAAAAAAATTGGAGAAGCCTCTTTATGTTTATATCATCTTATATTGTGCCTACGTAAGGTCAATTTTGGAATATGGTGCTGTTGTATGGGATCCTTCCACTTCTTGTGGTAAGGATCAAATTGAAAGAGTTCAACGTAAATTCCTCAAATATGCAGCATTTATTTTAAAGATAGACCATCCACCTCATGATTATAACCCAATTTTAATTAAATTTGGTTTATTTTCATTAGTTGATAGAAGAAAAATTGCTAATATGAAATTTCTCCGCCTAATAATAGATGGCTGTATTGACTCTCCTGTCCTACTTTCCATGATTAACTTTAAAGTCCCTTGCTCTTCTGTCCGTCAAATCTATCCATTTTTTATTTCTAAATGCAACACCAACTATTCTGAGAATCAGCCAATTCTTAGAATGATGCGTATGGCAAATAATGATCCATCATTTCTGTAGCATTGTTAGATTTTTTATTTATTTTTTTTTTTGGTTTTCATGTTTATAAATTAGTATATTAGTAATAGTCACTATTTTTATGGTTGTTATCTTATATAAAATTTAATTAGTGTTATCAGTGTTATCATATTATGTAAATTGGGCTCAGCCCGTATTGTTAATAATAAATAAATAAATCAAGTTATTTTTTTCATATACAATTTTAAGTTTAATATAATGAATTTTTAATTATATATTATAGATTTCAAATAGAAATAAATAATTATAAGGTAATTTAAATTTAAATTTTCAAAAGTATAAATTTGTATAAAAATATTAAACAAATGTAAATAAAATAAATATTTTAAATCAAATTCTTAAAAATAAAGATTTCTTTAAAACTTAAATTAAAAATATTTATACTTTTCTTTGAGGCATACGACCCATTGTATTTGGTGGCATATTGCCGGGGACAACCCCAGGCATACCTTGTCCAGGCATTTGTACAGGCATACCCTGCATTGGTGGGCCACCCATAACTGAAGACATAGACATAGGAGGTCCTTGTCCCATTTGATTGCCCATAGGCCCTGCATTAGGATTTTGTATCATTGGTCCTTGACCCATTGGTCCATTAGGTCTTATAGGAGGTCCTTGGTTCATTGGACCAGGTCCCATCGCCATTTGACCAGGTAATTTGTTTTGAGTTTGTGGTCGATTACTTAATGTCTGCAATACTGAAATTAATATGATAATTATATTAAAGATAATCCATTACACTTGATTTTATTTTCTTACATGTTGTTGCATTAACAGCACCAGGATTTTGATTCATATTCATCATTTGATTTCCACCTCCTGAAAAACAACATTTGTTTTAAATAGTCAATTATGATGCACACATAATTGATATAATACTCACTCATATCTCTTCCACCAACATGTAATAACAAACGGGCAACAAAATTTAAGTATTCATCCTAAAAACAATAAACATATTTTAATTTTCAAATATCTACCTTAAATAATAAATATATTTTTATTATCAGAGCAAATTAAATTTAAAACTTTTTTAAGTATATACAATTATAAAAAAAAATCTATTAATCAGATATTTTATAGCTATGATAAAAATATTTTTTAATTTATTATTAATACCAATACATATCATACTTATAAAAATGTTTAAATAAATTTTATTAACATTTTTTTTTTTTTAGTCACATTCATACAATATAAAATTGTCATCAGAAGTTTTTAAAACACAATTTAAAATTATTTAATAGTCTTAAAGAGTTTCCACCCATTTTTAAATATTTTTTAATCTTTAACCATATATGTATATTTATTTGTGCTAGCATTTCCAACATTCCATTTATTTATGAATTTATATCATCATAGTGATAAATAATATGCACAAAATTGCATAGTTATTATATTAATAATGTATAATAAGGTAATTTACTCGTTTGTAAACATTATATAAGCTATATTAAATAAATAAATATACTGTACTGTACTATTAAACCCAATTAATATTAGATATAAGATTTTATACTTATAATTGTCAACAACAACCATTATATCATAGAATAGATTAAATCTTTTCTGTGATTATACTTCTAATACTATAACATATCTCATGCTGAGTGCACAAGTGATTTAGTCTCCTGACAGTTTAAGATTTCAGTTTCTGAATAGAAAGGCTCCAATTTAATACATTAAACTGTAATACTTATAACTGTAAACTTATTAAGTGTAACTATTATCATTAATTTAATATAAGTTATATCTAATATTTAATAGTTATTCCATTTTAATACATTCAAGTATGCTTGATTTTATGTATCTATTTGTTCAGAAAATTTCCATCTTTTAGATAAACTAGAAAATAAAATATGCATACATTTATAAATGAAAGGTAAGGATATACAACTTAATTTCATTACTATTATTGTTTTCATATTTAAAAAAAAAAAAAAAAAATTAAAACATTCAATGTATAAAAAAATATACTTCTCTTCAGATATTTTTTGTTACCAATAATTAATTGTATGGAATTAATGTTTTCAATAATGAAAAATACAAAAACAAATTTTATATATCTTGGAATTATGCAGATTATTAATATGAGATAATTAAAATTCTTCTGAAAGTTTAGAATATACATTTACAATATATTTATTTAATTTATATCAGTTTTATTGATATTAGGAAAAAAGTAATAGGAAAAAAAATCTTGGAAAAAAGTCCCTGGTGAAACAGTCCCATGGAAAAGAAGTCTCCAAAATAATATTTGATTTAAATTCAGTCTTTTATGCACAAACAAAATAAAATATACAATAACATATAATATATATTATAATATAATAATATAATATCTTAAACATCTATAATATTATTTAAAAAATATAAGAGTGCAATTATTCAGATATAAAAAATCTCTTTCTTATATTTTGACCTATTTGCTTTAAAAAATTAGGAATATCTGCAGATTTTTCCTCATCAAAACGCTTACATAAAATGTTCAATCGAATTATAATTCTTTTACCAGCTTTGGTATTTTTTTTCCGATTAATTTCTCCTACTTCAGCCAATGCCATTCTTGCCTTGTCCATTCCAACTTCTTGACGCATTTTTGTTAGAAATTTCTAAATACTGAGATGTTTAATGCTGACGAAATGGAAAAATCTATTGATCCAGATCTTGCAAGTATTATTAGTTCTGTGTGATTGTCAACCAGATTTGCTAACCAAATTTATTTTATAAATAAAATAACAAGTATAATGGAAGTATCGTTTTATTTATACTTTAACGAGAGACTTTTTTTCTGTTTACCATTTTTATTATATAATTTATCCTACTAACTTCAGATTCATGTCTTCTAATGGTTTTTTTATACAAGAAATAAAATATTTTTTTTTAAAGGGACTTATGCTTTTTTATTCCTAACAAATAAGAAGTTATGATTGGTACTTACTTTACTTTTCGCTTTCAAGAAAACATGATTTTCCATTTCCAAACTGTTTTTTGAAGTTGGCATTCCTGACTGAGCAATAGCATCATCACTTAAAGTACAATAATAAAATATGAGGCAATGAATATACTACAATATAAAATCTATTAAAAAATTAAGTGCATACATTTTGTTGACCACATTTTGACGAAAACTTGAAGTACGCCAAACATCATCGTCACTCATGATTGTTAATGCATGTAGTATTATATACTTTTAGAAAAATCAAACAACCTACATAATAGAAGGTTATACAATTTCAGATATTACGAGAAGTCAATTAAAAAATAAGTCTTCTAATTTTCAATTCTAAGTTGGCATTGTGTTTAATGTAATATGAAAAAAATTGTATTACATTAAAAATGGAATTTTTGTATTATTTAATTATATTAAAAAGAAAATTAATTTTAGTAAAGAGAAAATTAAGATTCAAAATATTCAATAATATAAATAAACATATTAATACTAAATAATATTTTAAAATGTCTACCTTGTAAATCACTCCTTTTTTATACCGAACATATAACTCTACTTTATCAACTAAAATTGTTTAAAATAATTGGGTTGACAAAAACATAGTTTTTGAGGAAAATTGTTTAAAATAAGCTGTTTTTGTGCATAAAATCTTTGAACACCAATGACAATAAAAAAAAAAAAAACTAAATAATCTTGAACGTATGTAGTGATTTAAATGAAAGCAATTATTAATCGACTAATTAACGTAACTAAAAAGTTAGAAAATACATATATATTGAGTTTTTGCAAAATAAAACTGCTAAACAAACGTAGGTAGGTACTATCAAATAAATATAGTTTTATCAGCTTTAGCTATTTCACGAGTATATGGTTTAAACCAGAGATAATTTAAAAAATGTAGTGGTAATATGGATACCACGACCATAGACTATGACCACAACACGGTGAAATCTTTACAGTTTACCAATCACTCAAGAAATTCGGTACCTATTCAATTTTCATGTTAGTGTTCTTATTAGTAATTTTTATTTGAATTATTATATTGTACATAAAATTAATTGTTGGAGGTTTGGTATTGAAGTATTTTTAACAACTTCAAAATTAGCTTCAGGAACAAACTTTTACTGATCTGTTCTGGGTTTTTCTATTATAGTATTTCACTAATGGTGGTTTTAAAAGGTGGAAGATGTTTAAGGGCCACAGTTCACTCTAAAACTGGGTTTCTCGAAAAAAAAACGTCACTAAACGAAAAAAATATAATAACGAAATCAATTAATAAAACGAAAACAAAAAAAGTATAATAACGAAATCAATCAATAAAACGAAAATAAAAATAAATTATAGTATTATTCTATTATTATTTATTACGAAAAGAATAATATATGTTTTCAGAAATTTAATAATTCTGATAACTAATAGGCAATTGTTGACAAATAAAATATATTAATAGCATAGCGCAATAATTAATTATAGTCCACATGGTATATACACATTGAAGTGGTGACAGTACATTTTTTTATTCTTTATTATATATTTACAATCTGTGTTTGACATCACAATAAGTAAATTGGATAATTTATGTACATATTTAACTTGAATAATATGAAGAGGGAGGCCAACCAGTGATGGAACTCAACGTGAATTTATTTTAGACTAACAAATCTCTGCAATATTTTCTTTTGAGCCTATGAATGGGATTTATGGATTGATTGGATAAGATTTGCGATACTAATGGTTTAGTATGCGAAGGTAGTTTGGAATAGAAAGAACTGTAATGTTTGGTGGCTTATTAGTCAACTGACTCAATTTTTAGGTTAAAATATAGAGAAGAGTTGGATACAAACCAAGGTGCAGAAGTTATCATATGGAGGGTAATGGACTGGAATGCTTGTATGGTGCGAATTTGGAACGGCTTTGCACAGCCCCAAATTTGGATTGCATATGCCCATATTGGTTGCAAGAGAGATTTATATAAATAATCTTGGTGTGTATTGGTAGTTTTGACTTTAAAATCGGACGAAGTAGGTGAAGGCAGCTGTTGAAGGTTTTTCTTTTTTGTTTAAGGTGTGGACCCCAGGTTAATCTTTTATCAAGCGTAATGCCAAGATATTTGACATTAGGAGATTATGGAATTTTAGTACCTTGAAAGTGAACAGGTGGAGGTTCTGTTATTTTTAAAGTGAATGGTACATAAACAGATTTGTCTGGATTTATTTTTATTCGCCATTTGGTTGCCCAGTTGTCGATGGAATCTAAGTGTATTTGTAGACAGATGTTTCGTCAGGGTCATTACTAACATAGTATTGCGGTGTCGTCTGCATAAGTAGCCATGGTAGTGTTTGTTGTAACTGGTATGTCGGCCGTATAAATATTAAACAGACAAGGAGGGAGGTCGCAGCATTGAGGTACACCAGCTTTAATGTAAAAGTGTGATGAGTATGAGATTCCATATCGGATTTTGTAATAGCGGTTTTCGAGATATGAGCGAATAATTAGATAATATGGTGCAGGTAAAAAATTTTTGAGTTTATATAGTAGGCCTTCATGCTACACTCAGTCAAGCTTACGTTACGTCCAAGAAAACCCCATGACAAAATTGCTTCATTTCAAAGGCAGATGATACATGTATATATATATTTATATATATATATATGTATTTTGTCTGTCAGCCTGTAAATTTGATGGACAGTGGAATGTTTTGCTCTAAAGCAGTGGCGCCGAAGTCCATGTTTATGTATGGCAGCTGCCATATATATAAACATTTGAGGGGGGGTGGGTCCAGGGGAAAATAAAATGATGACAATTAATAGAAATAGGATCACAAATTATTAAGTAGTATTGCCCACTGCGAGTATTTGGTATTACATATACATTATTTCGTTGATCAATTAACACCAAATAGTTCATAATAATACGATCATTACTGATTAGTAAGAACAGTAACAACTAATGGCGCATTTTGGATAGAACAAAAATAAAAATAAAAACCATCAACCAAAATAGACATTTGCCGACTGGCGACCACCCACTCCACTAACATACGTATATTACATTATTAGCGTCTATTATGTTATCAAAAATGCAACATTTAGTCCATTATAGTGTTTATAAATAGCTAAAAATTCCTATAAATTATGATACACTATCATTGAAAATCAACTGTACCTTCAGTTTAGTGTAATAACTAATAAGCCAGCTATAATTCAAAAAGACTGTGACATATATTTATATTATTTAATTGGTTTTATTATTTAACTTTTAAGAATTTTTAATTTTTAACCACTACTATTTAAAGTTAAAAATTATAATTGTCTAAGAATATTAAGTACAAATCAACCTTATAAAGTAATTTATTTAATACCAAAAACTATGAGTTCTGTTTGTAAATGTGATTGCGGGAAATTAAGTTCATCAATGAACGATAACAATTGGAATAGACATATTAACTCATGTAAAGTACGAAAATTTAAAAGAAACTCGCATGATATAAAATCGTTTTTTTCTGGAAACAAGAATAAAAAAAGCAAATTGATTCACCAAATTACTGCTGTAAAAAATAGTAAGTATCTACTTAATTTATTTAAATGTTTTATTTTGTTTTAAAATAAAAATACAGATATATTATAAATATGCATTATTTTAAATAATTTATACTGATCTTAATTATAATATTTAATATGATTAGTTTTTACTTATAAGTTCTGTACTACCAACTTATTGTACTATAACCTACCTATGTGGCTATGTTCTATTAGTTATTACCAGGGTTAGGATATGTATGCAACAGCATGATTTCTTATGCGACTTCTGAATATTGATTTTGTCAATAATGTCCACGAATCACCTCATGATGAGATAAATGGTGTGTTTTTATTTTGCATGTTTTTGCATATTTTAGATAAAATGGATATTATTGCATATATTGAATAAAATTAATATTATTGCATATTTCAATTATATGAATGCAAAAAATGAATGTATTATAGTATATTTCGTATTTAATTCTAGCCCCGCTGATAAAAGTGTTATGTGCACCACAGCATATTATAGTATATTATTATTATACTTATTATTATTATTAATATTGTTAAGTATGTATATGTTAATATGTGGGGACAAATGCTGACATTCGTGTAACAACCAAGCAATTGTAAAATCGTTCTTTCTATATTATAATTTTCAGCGACTCGATAAAATAAATACTTTTAATAAAATTGTTGAATTGAGAATTTCCTCGTGGTGTTTTTTTTCTAAAGTGCGAACTTAAAAAACGTTACTGTAATGCCAACGGACTCTACCGAGTTTACCCGATCTGGCATACAACAAAAGTATAAAACTTGATTTTTTTTATCAAACATAAATTTTATTTTGAATTATTTTATTTTATTTCTCTATTATATTATATTAAGACAAACAACCAACCACTGATGTAATTCAATAAATATTTTTTTTTTTTTTTATAACTATATTTTTGTATTTATCTTATAAAAATTTAAATCTATATTTTTGCATATTTTACAATTTTTTTATTTCATACAAATCCTAGTCCTGATAATTACATTAATTTATCCCACTACTGTTAATTTGGAGTATAGAAAAGTAAAAAAATGCTTATATGTGTAAAAAAAAATATATTAGTTAAAAAAGATTTTTCTGATGATTGATTTTATATATGATTTTATTTTATGTACTTACATTTTTGTACCTACTTATACATTAACAAATGATAATTTGTACATATTACATGCTCACATAGTTTTTTGATAATCAATTACCTTATTGAATATACAACTAGTCTTGAGATAAACTCATGATTGCAAAATAAAGGTATGTGCCTATCCATATTAAACAACTTTTTTTTTAAGTATTTATATACTTAATTGTGAATATGTACCTATATAACTCATAATCGTTTGATGATTAATATCCTTATTGAATATACAACTAGAACTAGCTTTAATTTAATACATATTTTTAGCTATTTTTGATGTGAACAATGATTTAAATAAAGACCAAAGTACTCCAGTTAATAAAGAATCTTTGGTTGAATGTGAAATTCAAAAAGATACTGAGATAAGCTCATGTTTGCAAAATAAAGGTATGTACTTAAATTATTTGTCATTTTTTATGTACCTATTTATATATTTTGAATATTTAGTTTTTTGTACCTTTGCCTATAATAATAAAAATAATAATCTATAAGATAAAGTAATAGTGATGTACGAACAGCGAAATAATATGTTTTTTCCATTTTTTTAAAGGCATAACAAATATTATGTAGGGGGTACCTAACATATCTATTTAGCTAAAAGAAAAAACATAGGTATAATAATTTATAATAATAAGATAAGAAAATACAATTAAATTAAAACTAATAATTAATTTAGTAAGTATTATTTAAATAACACTAAAAAAAAAAAAAAAAAAAAAATGTTTATCAGAAGTAGTAGGTATCTATGGAAACAAATCAAAATGTAATACATTGTAACCTGCAGACATTAAAATTTTAGCAGGGCTATGTGACAAATATTTAGTTTTAAAATTTGACAGATAAAATTTAGGTTTATTTCTGGAGTTGATTGTATTTACCTTAAATTTTAATTCTTCAAGAAGTTCTACACAATAAGTCATCTTATGCAATAATTTGATTAAGAATCTTAAATTTAATGCTATTTTATGTTTTTTAAAGAATCAATTTTAAATAAATTACCAATTGTATTATATCCTAATTCCTGACTGAGGGGTTCTTTTCATATTACAATTATATGACAGATATC